GATATAGTACAGGAAGAAAGATTTATTTCGTAGAAAGAAAGATATGAAGCGATTTTAATCTCATAGTTTAAAGATAGACAGAGAGTGTATACACTTACGCCACTGTGATCGATTCTGAGCCATGTCACCAAGAGTCTCCAACCATTGGCTACGATAGTCACACGGACCCCAACCAAGTAGTCTGCATCTACCAACATGGCTCACACTAGAAGTGAGTGTCTTCAAGCACTGATGCCACGTTTTGGTTTGGCCGCCCCTAACTTTCTTCCAACCATCCCCAACACCGGTTAGCATTGCGCGTCGTGGTAATCGGTGTTCAGGCATACGCAACACGTGGCCCAACCATCTTAGTCGATGATGATTCAAAAACCTAATCAACTGATTTACCATCATTCCCTAATACCCTAAGTCTAGCTTCACTATTACTTACCCGGTAATCTCAGCAGATGCGAGCAATATTTCTCAGGCATCTGTGGTCAAATAGTAGTAGCTTATAAGCATCAGACTAACTAATCTAATAATTAGTAACAGTAGTTACTATCTAATAATTCAAAAGAAACTAATAGTAATTAAAAAGTCGATAAACTTCTTCATTGTATTGAAATTAAAAGTATTTATTTCAAAATAAATAATTAAAGTACTCGCAAAGCACCAATAATAATAATAATAATAATAATAATAATAATAATAATAATAATAATAATGGTAGTCATATACATTTGGAATTTTAACCAAGAATAAAAATTAACAAATAATTAGTAGATTAAAACAATAATATGAACGAAGAATATACTTTTCAATTAGTTCTCATCAGATTCTACAATTATCTCATATCCAAATTAATAATCCATAAAATTGACCAGATTTAAGGAAGAGTAAATCATTTGGAAATTGTAATATGATATACTCTCCCTTAAATCTGGTCAATTTTATGGATTATTAATTTGGATATGAGATAATTGTAGAATCTGATGAGAACTAATTGAAAAGTATATTCTTCGTTCATATTAATTGTGTTTTAATATAATGGGAATTTTTCAGCAATTAGTAGATTGATAAAAGTATGAATAAGAGAATCGGTTGAAAAAAAAATAAACCATACGTAACACACGACCAAACTAGAAAAATTTCAATTTGATATCGTTAAAAAAATTTATAAAATCATTAACCCTTTTATTTATTTATTATTTTTTGTTTAAAAATGAATAAATTATTCTAATTTTAAATATTAGATATTGAATATTGTAAAACAAGTATAATTTCATTTAAATAATAGAATGATTTAGAAAAATCACCTTCACATAAATATGGTACACGTGTCCAACGTAAAACATGATAATTAGCTGGTATAAGAATATTATTAATTAAACTAGATAATTGTATTTCCCATAATTCACTATCAATAATTTCAAGTATTTCAATAGGACGTTGATCATGAGCAGCTTTAAAAAGGTGGTTTTTTACATTTTTTATAAATAAAAAAGAACAAAAGAAAGAAGAAAACATTTGAATCAAAATGAGAGAAAGTAATCTTTACCAACAATAAGTGAACAAGATAAATCAGTATTTTTTTGTATAATATTGATATGTGGGCCAAAATTATCATGATTGGTTGTCTGCTTAGTCAGACATGTAGATAGTCTGACAGGTGTTAGATGAGTTATATATTCCCTTATCCTTATTATTATTACTCACTTATTATTGATTGTTCATTGTTGTTGGATTGTGTCGGGTTTTTGGTGTGGTAATATATATACGCTGTGGTCAGGCTAATCACGTGTTCTTGATCTGAGTTGTGTTGAAGTTCTGTAAAATAGACACTGGGAGGGAATCTAGTGTGGATATTCGTCTAAGATAAATTAACGTCCAATACGTGTAAATGTGGACACCCAACCGTTATAACAGTAAACGAAGTAAAACCGAGCGTTATAACAATTGGCAACAGGGTGAAAAACAAAGAACCAAGGGTATAAAATCACAAGTTATAACAAATATACTTCTAGTCAATTCAGAGATTATGGGTAACTGTCTTTGAAACCGTTAACCTCAAGTGATATTTATCAGGGTTGGCCAATTTTCACAATTCTATGTACCATCATCGTAAACATTCTTTTAGACATAATGCTTTTACTTCTTTTAACTTATCACAGATCAATCATCTACAAATAGATTAATGTTCAGCTTGGGGGTTGTGGACACTGTTGAATTTTATTGTATCCATGAACCAATCAATGTTAGACTACCATTGAATGGCCGTTTCGCTCTAGTATGGAACTTATCAGCAGTGTGCATCTACTATCCGACATGCAGGATTCGAACCCAGGACCTTTGGTCTGGCACGAGAACACTTAAGCTCCAAATCCCTGAGTCAGCATCCAGAGCTTCCAGGTTTTGAATGCTCGTCTAATATTGATCGGTCCATGATTCTAATAAAGTGGATTAATTAGTTGACCTTAAATAAGCAGATGACATAGTTTGGTTTGGCGAAAACTGACAAAATGAAGTCTTCTAATCACGTTGGGAAACGATGCAAACATGTTTGGAATGCATCTCTCCATATCCCTTTCTACATACAGCCATCAATAAATAAATGTGATTAAAACCAGGGTTTTCAGGTCTAGGGATTAAAATAATACTTTTAGATTATTGTAATCAATGGTTAGGGATTTTGAACGATATAGTTTGAAATCGTTACCAAAGGCCTAGATACACTCACTCTTTATCCTTACTTAGATTCTAAGTTTCTAAATTCCATATAACTTTTTGATTGCTGCACCAATTTATATTTTCTTTGTGGATTGTATCTTGGATGTTTATTTTTTTCTATTACCATTATTATTATTCCTAGCTCTACTACTCTGGGATTTACCCTGACTATTTCTTCCCTCTTCATCAATGAGATAATGTAAACGTGAACGGATGTACACATGTACCAGGTTCTACGTTGTATGTGACTGACTAAACGAGATTACTGAGACGGGATTAGATAATAAGCAATTCCAAATTCATTCGAATCAGACTGTAAGAAATGAAACTGATTCCCGCAGATTAGTCAAAATCACAGAAGTTTCCATGTAGTAGGAATTAATCTGAATAACACAATCTCTCTAGACAAGAACAATGGTCCAGTTATTGTGGTCATGAACTTATATCGATTGAATTTCCTTGGTTAAATATTTAGTATGAGAACTTTTCATTCATCAAGACGTGTAATACTGACTGAAGAAGGATGAGGTATTAAAACTTTAAGTGTAGTTTAACCAAGACATTATGAAAGCTGATGTATTTACTATCACTCTGATTAAGATGTGTGGAGATGTATGGATTTTTGGGATGAAAGCTCCAGCATAATGGAAAATACTAGTCGCTAGATAAACTAGATGATGCAGTCTAAAACTGATCAGATTGAATTAAGTGCAATCAATATGTATAGTTTTTAAGAATTAAATAATTTATAAGTTTACTGGGATTGTCTCAGGTTATATTATTTTTATTAGTAAATGATGGCCTTATGTGTAAGGATAACCGTGATATTTTTTCAATTGATATTCCGTAATGATCTTTGCTGACATTTGATTGGCGCTTTTTCCATTTATTTTGCTAATATTACTACGTCCTAAGATCATGGTTATTTATTATTTCATTTTATTTTAACACAGATATTGGTACAAGGAGGCACCAAATATATATGCGCCACACAAATCTCGTTTGATATGTGTGAGGGCTGTGATACTGCCCGGGTGCCCAAACCGAAGCAGGTGGTTTTCTTAGGGGGCCACATCCCGAGCCTTTGACCTAAAGGTCTAACCCACAAGGCAGTGGAGCATCGTGAGGAGATGCAGTTCCATGGAAGCCAGTGACCAAGAAATCGGTTCATTCGCCATTCTTTCACTCAGGATACTGGAGCCCATGTGCACTATTGGTTTGGGATCCAGTTATAGCGCCGGACGTTCGCTTTTCGTCCTCTCATTTTCGTAAACAACACCTGCGCCACGAGGAGGCAGTGAGTAGGACTTCCCTAGCAGAGGCTGTATATGCGTGGCGATGTGAGAGCATTTCGAAAGGGAGAGCGGAATCGTCCCTCTCGGCCTTATCAGGGCATTTGGGGGGCATGGTTAGTTATGATTTATACGGAGCTGTTCTACCTAAAATTTAATTTCTTGGAAATCAGGCTTTTTATGAGTACCTGTATCCTTTCTTCGTTCCATGAAGTTGATGATGATCTTCGAAGTGTTGTAGGTCAGTCGCCGGTCTATCGAGTCCGCATTAGATACCATTAGTATTAGAAAAATCCCGAACGTTAGTAATTAGAAAATACCGTTGGCCGATCATAAAAATTAAGTAAGATATTATTTATCTTAGTTATGCTTCAAAAAGTTTTGTATCTCGTTGTTTTTTGTTTAGCACACTGCTGTAAACTGTGATACCACGAACTAGTTTCATTTTGTGAGGTTTTATGATTATATTTATATGTTTTAGCGGGAAAGCAGAGTCGGACATACTTCTGAGTTTTAAACTGATTAAACAAAACCGATATTTTACGAGTCACCAGTGATATAAATTTGGAAATCCCTAGTAGCCACCATCAACGTTCTATTTGCAATAAACTTATCTATGTTACTGAACAATTCGACATACACCACTAAAATACTCATTAATTCTAAAATTTGGGATCTGTGTACATGAGTTTTGAAATAACATCAAATAATTTGAAGGTTGGAAAATTCCAAACATCTTATAATTTTCCTTTTTTTACCTGAATCGTTTGAAGGACCCTAGAGATTTCAGTTTTTATCTAATAAATACATGCCACCTCTACATTGAATGTCGACCAGATCGATGTATTAGAGGCTGGCTACTATCAAGTTAAACGTAAGTTTTAACGTCAAAATAAATTGTTGATGAAAACAACTTATTATAATGAGGTAGGACAATAGGTCAGCTTAATCTGTTATGAAATTAAGAGAAGAATTTAATGCCAACCAAAATTACAAACTCACTTTCAACATATTGTTTCAATGGTAAAACTATCCCAAGAATTAAAATTCCCGTCGTAGGTTTTAAAGCTTGACTAATTCGTTTCAATAAGGTAATTGGAGCTGTACAACGATCCAATAAATTTAAACAACTAATAACATCAAAATGAGATGGAACTTTGGGTGTATTCAATTCTTTATTTATTAATTCCCAAGAGTCAACGTCTAAAATTCTGTTAATAAAACAAAGCAATATAAGGGATTAAATAAATTGAAGTAAATCTTCATAACGTATCAAAAAGATCTTGATCAGAATAAATTTCATGTAACAACCAAAATTAAGTGTAATACTGTTTGTTCAAAAGATTCTCATAATCGTTTATTAAAAGATAATTTGAAATCATTACCTAAAAATCATACAATATAATCAGTCAACTTACGTAAAGCCATGTTTACTTAAACGCCAACGCATAACTGGAGAAATTTCTGTGACGAATATATCTTTAAAGTAAGGAGCCATTTTCAATGTCACATTGCCGTCACCGGCACCTGTATTTCGAAAAAAATGTTTAACAAAATCGTGACGTATTTTTTAATATTGAAATATTGATAGTACAATTTGTAAACCATCCCACAAACATTTTTTTATATTTCTTTTATCAATAAATGGTCGTCTTTGACTCAATAGCTTAATAGTTCCACTCTCACCGAAATAACTGAGGGTATCGGGTTAAATTCTTTGACGGGTTGTGGTTATCTGCTGACGTAAATTCATGATTCAAAATGTATTCGAAATAAGGGAAATCCCGTCTTATTTGTGTAAAGAAATACTGCTGTAACAGATAATAATTGTTATTATTATTATTATAAATAATTGTTAAAGATGTGATCAACAGATTGCAACTATGTTATGAAGTGAGGTGGTTTTCACCGATAACAGTAGATGATAAACTCATATTACAGTGAATCAACTGAGGTTCGATAGGTGAACACCAGGTGCCAACTTAATGGTTTAAGGTAACGCAATCCCTATAAGGCTTGAAGGTGCTACAAAGAAAAATCACATCATCAGTTGACCAACATATACCTTAGTTGGTCAATTCTAAAGAACTTATTTTTTTATTTATTTGAACACATAAACTAGTACAATGGGGCACCAAATACGTATACGCTACACAAATCAAATGATGATTACTAGTGGAAGAAAGAGTTTATTGCTAAAACATAGTTTCATTTTATCGTCTATTCATATGAAGTGAGATCATTCTGAATCAAATAAACAGATGAGAAAGCTAATATGAATACTGTATTTATAAGATGTCTGCATAAATTTTTAAGAGATTATTTATTTATTTATTTGAACACATAAATATTGGTACAAAGGGGTACCAGATACATATGCGCTACACAACAACAATGAGAACGTAAAGTGCGTATAAGAAAAGGGAGAACAATAACAAATAGAAATTAGTGCATGATAGTGAAATAATTACAATGAGAGAAGCAGTTCAGTTAGTAAAGGTACAACCGGAAGGAATTCTTCCAGTTAAAGAAGTTACGTCCATTTTTATCAAGTAAAATAAAGTTACAGCAGAATGGCCACCGGCTCTAGCCACTGTGATGCACCATCTCTAGAACCTCAACCAAGGGGTCGTGAAGGACCAGCGGAAGCCAGTTCTGTATAGTCTTCTAGCATACCACGACACTATGTCATACATTGACCACATCTCTTCTTTTTCCAACCAGTTCCAGCGTCGGCAAATAATGCACAACGAGGAATTTTCTGGGACGACATTCGTAGAACATGTCCAAGCCACCGAAGTTGATGTTTAAAGATAATGACACTAATTGAATTGTCTTCACTGTACACGAACACATGACGCAGAATCTCTGCATTACTAACATGATGTTGCCACTGGATGTCAGCGATCCTTCGGAGACAACGATGACCAAACACAGAGTCGTCTAACATTCACAACTCGGAAAGGCCAGGTTTCACAAGTATAGAGCGAAACTGCTCTCACCGACGTTGACAATTAAGAGACTATTGTTGAGGTGGATGTGTACTACCCATATGTGCAAAAAATAATTGATGATAAAATACTTCAACTCGTTTTCTTTTACCACAACGTTTATTAACACATGAAACGAAATAAATTACAATATTTTCTATTATGACATTTACTAGGAAAATTCTTACGATTTTACACTGACTACCCGGAGTAAGAAATATCGACATTTAAAGTACTCACCTAATATCATCTTAACTATCCTGATCACAAATAAATTAAACATTGGGAATTATTGGGAAACAAAATCAATCATTACATAGAATTCTTTCAAGTCATTGGGAGAAATATTTAACTTTATATTAATTTTATGTGGCTAATTTAATATTTACAAGTTCATATACGTAGCTTTCAACTTGATCGCATATATGAGGGCAAGCAATATTATCCAACTGTTCAAACTGAAGTAGATGAAGTAACGTTCGACTTCACGATCTATTGGTTGAAAATCGAGTGATCTGGTAATTAATTCGCCGCCTGACAGGAATATTAACAAGCATATATATATATCAGAAATGATATCAGTTTCATCTAATTTTTCGTTATTGTAGTTTCCAATAAATGCAACGAGTCACAAAATTTGGTTACTTGAATAATTGGTAAGAATACTTAATTCATAAGTGGGGATTGATATTAAATTAAAACGGAAGCAATTAATTCTTTGGTCCAATTAACTGCTTTGTTTAATGACTGTAGTATTTTTTAGCTCAAATGAATCTGTTTAATCGGTTTATGTTCTTTGAGCTTAGTTTGATGCCAAAACTTTCGTTAGAATTTTAGACAATATCATGAACATAAATTTAAAACAAGAGAATTTCAAAATTAACCCCTTTTTTGCAGTAAAATTGTAAGGTACTTTACAATTCCATATTGAAGACATATCTTTATCTAACTGGCTTAATGGGATTCTTGTATTAGAGGTGTTTTCAGATGTTGAAATTTCTTGTCCAACTATGTCCTTTGTTAAAATGACTTTTTTTCCTATGGATCCATTTTATGCACTTTGTAAGTATACGGGTGATTTATACTTTACAAGTACTTATGCTAGGATTTTCGTTACAACATACAGGTACACAATGTAGACTTGTCAGCATAATGCAAACCAGCCCTGAGTTTTATATATACATATCAATCAATTATCTACCTACCTAAGTCGAGTAAAGAATTCGACTTGAAGCTATCGTTAACATCAAGTAAGCGAAGAAATTGTGCTGATGAGAAAACAAACATAGAACCACGGCCAACTAAACTTGAAAAATACAAAAATGGACAGAATTAAAAAAAACGGTTCAAATGTACAGGTTTACTGATAGATATTTGGTGCAAAATAAGAGAAAATAAACCGACTAACAATAGTAAGACGATGCACAAGAATTAGGTCCAACAATCAAGTCTTAATTGGTTGGAAAGTGGATGACCTACAAGTTGATTTTCCTCAGCCCCTTATAGGATTTTACCATGTTATTTATTTACAAGTACTGCATTCTATTGCCTAAAATTTATTTTTCTAGGTATTGCTCTTATTTTTTATTCTCAATTTTTCGGGGGATTGAATTAAAACTCAGCCTAGTGAGCGGCTATCACAACTACATCTTAACCTTGAGTATTACTTGTTAACCAGAATCCTTTTTGTTCATCTTAACGATCGCAAATTCGCTGACCAAATAATTAAAAGCCTCTCCAATATCTAAAAGACTAGTAAACTGATTAATATGTTTTCAATATACTCAGGATTCCAAAAACTAGCCAGAACAACGTAAATTATAGTAAGAGTAAAAATAATAGCAACCATCTATAATGAAGAAATGACGAAACTGTAATCTCCCAATGAATCAAAAATTGGAATTCTGAAGTCTTACTTATTTGATTAATAAATATATATTCCGAATTGACACAAGTCGTTTTATGGTAAATGTAATTACAGATACGATTTTCAAGGCTTTATACCATTGAATGCGTCCAAAATTATATGGTGAGTAATGAAATTATCTTTTATTAGTACTCTAGAGTACTAAAAATACAATACAAGCATACTAGTATTTTGTCATTGAATGTTGATTAGAAAGGTATTTCTCACAATAAAAAAATTACATTTTTTATCCAAAAAACATTTGATTGACTAATCCTGATAGCATACAAATCCAAAATGTTAATATTCTAAACTGGTTCAACCTAACAATAGATGAACCCAATCATCACGAAGCAGTTAGCGACTTGAGATTTCACAATAACTGTAAACAAACTGCTATTAAAGCTATTGATGAGAAGGACAAGATAATGAATACTAAAAAAATTCAAATTAATATCGAAGCATATGGCAACTGTTTAGATAGTTTCGAACACTGATTGACTACAGGTTCCGAACTTAAATGAGAATAAAGAGATTTACATTATTTCTATTCGATACTTTAAGGATATCACAATCAATAAAAACAACATAGCTTTTCAAATGAAGATGATGGGGTTTCCAAATGTGAATAATAAAACGCCGACAATACTGAAATAAATGTAGGATTTAAAAACCAATCACTATTCATAGGGTGTCACGAGTAGGAATGATAGACTGAAGCATTTCTGGTAGTCGCATTATTACATTTTAAATTATTTAATACATGCATATGTAAGTGAAATTTAGCAGTCAACTTATAGAAAATTCAGTGTTATCCAATACATTCTATACAAAAGACCAAGTCGATAAAATTCTAGCTCTTAAAGCTAGTTTCAGGCATGCAATTTTTTGATCACTAGACTCTCAGACAGAATTTAACTACACAAAAACTATTTATTCAGTCTTCTTATGATCCTAGGATTTTCACTCACCACCTAGTTATAGTAATAATAATCTACACGATTCTTGAACGACCATTATTATTATTATTATTATTATTATTATTATTATTATTATTATTATTATTATTATTTGAACACATAAATATTGGTACAGGGGGGCACCAAATATATATGCGCCACACAAAACAATGATAATTTGAACAGAAGGAGAAAAGAGAAAAAAAAAGTAATGAACGTGGGGAATTATAAAAAAAAGGGGAGAGAGAGAGAACAATGGTGGGGGAAACGGAAAGGTACAATCAGAAAAGATCTTTCAGTTAAGGAAGATACAACCACTTTTTATGAAGAAAGTAAAAGAAGGTTACAGCACGATCGCCACTGGCTTCTATTCTGAGCCATATCTGATAACGTCTCTAGCCACTGCGTTACACCGTCTCTCGGACCCCAACCAGGGAGTCGTGAAGGACCAACAGAAGCTAGCCCTTTGCAGCTTTCTTTCATACCACGACACCATGTCATACACTGACCACCTCTCCGCCTTTTCCAACCAGTCCCAGAGTCGGCAAATAATGCACGACGAGGAATTCTCTGGGACGACATTCGTAGAACATGTCCAAGCCACCGAAGTCGGTGTTTCCAGATGGTGACACCAATTTCATTATCGTCTCTGTGACCGAACACTCGATGCCGAACCTCTGCATTACTAACATGGTGTTGCCACTGGATGCCAGCAATCCATCGGAGACAGCGACGATTGAACAAAGAGAGTCGTCTAACATCCTCAACTCGGAGAGGCCAGGTTTCACAAGCATAGAGCAAGACTGCTCTCACCGTCCCGTTGTAGATCCGACCTTTTACAGCCAGACTAACATCACGAAGGCGCCAAAGATAGCTCAGATTGGCATAAGCCGCTCTGGCTTTCACTATACGTGCATTGATCTCATCACTCACACCACCACCAGCACTTATGCAGCTACCTAGATACACAAACTTCTCAACTACTTCTATCTGCTGACCATCCAGAGTGAGTACAGGATTAGAATCCTGTCAGTCTTGTAGAAGAACTTTGCACTTCGAAGGTGCAAAGCACATACCATACCTACGAACACTGATTGCCAACTGGTTAAGTGCGGATTGCATAGCTTGGGCATTCTCGCACAGTAAGACAATATCATCCGCATACTCAAGGTCGAGAAGTCTTTCTCCAGGCAACAGATCCACACCACCATTACTTACATCCGTCAGAGCTGTTTCCAGAATGTCATCGATGGCAAAGTTGAAGAGGAATGGTGAGATTGGGCAACCCTGCCTAACCCCACTGCTCGAATGGAATAGTGGAGAAAGGTGGTTGTATGCCCTCACTCTGCCTGAGGTGTTTGTGTATAGGGCTTTTAGGATGTTAATAAACTTCTCAGGCACACCCTTCTTCAATAGACAATCCCAGAGAACAGTTCTGTCCAACGAATCGAAGGCAGCCCTGATATCAAGAAACACTACGATTGTTGGCCTTTGATAAGTATGGCGGTGTTCTAACACTTGGCGGAGGGTGAAGATATGATCAATACATCCTCGACCAGAACGAAACCCAGCCTGCTCCTCGCGAGTCAATCCTTCTCGGGTTTTGAACAACCTACGAAGTATGATGGAAGCCAATAACTTGGACGCAATCGGAAGTAGACTTATCCCCCGATAGTTGTTACAGGAACAACGTGAACCATTTTTAAAGATAGGGACAACTATCGACTCATTCCATGACGTTGGTACACTTTCTAGTTCCCAGACCTTTGTAAACAACGTCGTCAGTCCCTTAGTCAGAAAGTCACCACCATCTTTAAAAAGCCGGAGGTAAGTCATCTGGGCCCGGTGATTTGTAGCGTTTCAAGAGTTGGAGTTCCTTGCGGACTTCCGCCTCATTTGGTGGATCAGTCGTCACCGTCCATGGAGGGCAGGACAGTCTGACCGATGTTGCCGGAGCAGCAGGCCAGTTAAACTGCCCTTCAAAGAATTCTGCCCATCGTCCAAGACGTCGATGGATGTTAGTGAATTTCGTTCAGTCGTCCTCGCAGATTGTTTCGCTCACACCAGACTTCTTATTGCCAGTGGCTCGGATGAGTTGGAAGAGCTTCCGGTAATTACCAGATGCAGCTGCTGCTTTCTGCTCATTAGCACGCTCCGACCACCAGGCTTCTCGGTCCTTACGCAAGCTTTGCCCGATTTCATTACGTAACATCCTTCGTCTGTGGTCGAACTCACGGTCACCCGGAGTAGATCGACGGGCTTCAATGAGTTGTAACGAACCAGAAGAAACCCAGTGCTTGTAAGCGGGACGTTTCGCAAACCCACAACAGACTGTACCCGCCATTTTCATGGCGTCATGCAATTGCAACCAATGCTCATCTATACTTTTCGGTGGAGTGGTAGCTAGCCTGGAAGCTAGCTCGGTTCGATATTTACTAGCAACAGAAGTTGCAACCAGCTTGCTAACATCAATCCTTTGGTGACGGTCACTTCGTTGTCCACTGAAAAGTAAGGTAAGATTGGCGCAGACCAGAGCATGATCAGATTCCAGATAGGTACTCCAAAAGGAGCAGCAGTCTTGTACACAACCGCGCCAGCGGTAGCTGATCGCGATGTGATCAATCTGAGTCCAGGCTTGAGATGCAGAAGGGGGACGCCAGGTGGCACATCGGCGATGACTGTGCCGAAAGTTAGTGCTAGCCAGAAACAGGTTGTGGTCTGTGCACAGTTGCAGTAGACGTTCCCCGTTATCTGTCCTGCGACCAACAAGTCCCCATCAGCCACCTAAACGACTCTCTTCTGTGCCTAGACGCCCGACCTGAGCATTCACGTCTCCAGCTAGTACAACAATATCTGTCGAACGCACTTTCTGGAGAAGAACAGTTAGCTGGTGGTAGAACTCGTCCTTGATTGCATCCGGGCTGCAATCTGTCGGGGCATAGGCGGAGATGACGAAAAGACATCGTTTCTCACGCCGATTTCTTCTCACTTTGATGGAACTTTCTAATCTAACAGCACATAACCGACTGTTAATGGGGATCCAGTCGACTAGTGCTGCCTCAGGTCTTGCGCTTAGTGTGACACCAACGCCAGCAAGACCAGACGAACATGCCACAGGGTCCCCGGATAAACGCACGTAAAACAAGCTTTTTGAAGCGACAGATGGAGAGCGAATTTGTAGTACTTCACCAGAGTCTTGAATACGGGTCTCGGATAGACAACAAACGTCAATATTAAGACTTTCCAAAGACATAGCCAGCCCTATCTGTTGTCCGACCTGCATAAGTGTGCGAACGTTGAAGTCAGCCAGTTTGAATGGTGCACGTGGTTTCAGAAAAACTGCTTCAGTACTCATATTCGGTAGTAACATAAAATTTTCAACCAGGCAGTGACTCGAGAACATTTAGATAAAGCTGAATTTTCACCATAGGCGAGCTGCTGTCTGAGTCGAAACGGATACAAAAAGTAGAAATAGGAGATAGTGAATAAACGACGTAGTAAATAATAATAATAATAATAATAATAATAATAATAATAATAATAATAATACCAGTCATTTCAATGTTAGTCGGAGAGAAACGAATATTTTCTATAAGCACATAGTTCATCATAGTTTTAGTGTGTGGGCTGAGATACTGCCCGGGTGCCCAGACCGAAGCAGGTGGTTTTCTTAGGGGGCCACACCCCGAGCCTTTGACCTAAAGGTCTAGTCCACAAGGCAGTGGAGCATCGTGAGGAGATGCAGTCCCATGGAAGCCGGTGACCAAAAGTTGGTTCATACGCCATTTGTTCCCGCAGGATACTGGAGCCCATGTGCACCATTGATTTGGGATCCGGTTATAGCGCCGGAAATTCGCTTTTCGTCCTCTCATTTTCGTAAACAACAGTAATGCCACGAGAAGGCAGTGAGTAGGACTTCCCTGGCAGAGGCTGTATATGCGTGCCCGTGTGAGAGTATTTCGAGAGGGAGGGCGAACCCTCCCCGCTCTCGGCCATACCAGGGCATTTGGGGGCCATCATTATTATTACGACAATTACCATCGTACCACAACTCATGTTTGAACTAGTAATAATTGAGTTTATGTATATTAACTGGATAATTCCGAATAATATTCCAATTACTTTGTATACGTGGTAGTGAAACCACAACATTAAGCCACAAGCTATAAAGTTATGGGTGTCCTGTGCCATTTTTGGCTAGTAATAGCTTAATGCGTGATGTCAGTTCATGATGGAGATCGCATTATAATGTCAAATGTAACTGTAGAATCTGATTACATATTTGCATAAAATACCTTTACAAGTGAAATTTCCATATTTTTTTAAGTAAAATAAAAAATATAGATAAAACTAAAGGGCCAAAATCAATTACCCATTTATAGAAGTTGAAGTCATGAACCAAGTTAAAACAGCTTTAGCAATAGCATGATAAAAGTGTGTAAATAACCAGTCAGATTTGACATAGCAATTGTTCAAAAACTCGCAAGTTTCTTCATCTTGTTTTGATTTAATAAACTTGTTCCGAAGTTCAAAATCTAAATATTCAGAGCGATAATCATACCACTACATTGATAAGATTGAAAATATCATAAAAAGTATATTATGAAAATAATTGAATATAACTACATGGTCATGATTTGAGTTCGAATGTTTATTTTGATGATCCAACTTTTCATACATTAATCTTATCAGAGGACTTCGAATATATTCACTCATTGATTGAGGTAAAGCTAAAACTTCATAACAAAAACAGACGATATAGTCAGCAAAAGAACAAATATAAAATGGGGAATCAAGTAAAACAGGAGGGATCAAATGTCAAACATACTTGACATAAAATACGACCAAGTCATTATTAGAAACAATATGAACATTTATGCAACGAAAACCCATCAGTTTAGCCTTGAAAGACTTGCAACAAAACAATTCAAATCGAAAGTCTTGTCAAAGACAAGTAGTTATGGATAGTCAACCAATCAGATAACAATACTGGTATTGGAATATCGCAATGGATTCTATTTCCTGTGAGAAAAGCAATACTAGACTATGGCCCATGCATATTCAACTGATGGGCTATGAACAGAACCAAACCCTCATTTTAGACTGAAATTCTATTATGTACTGGTGTAAATAATTTAAATTTTGGTTCTACTAAAACTTCTGGAGTTCAATATGAATAACAATGAATTCTTTACCATCATTCGGTAGCTGATAATCTAAATATCTTCACCGGATGTTTTGTATCAACAGACTAACCTGAGTTAAATGGTTTAATTGTAGTTTTATCTTTTGATACCTATCAAGTCGGGATTCGATGACCAGTTTCACGAACAACTATTAAGTAGGATAACAAGGTCAAGTGACTATTCAAATTACATCCAACACGGAAACTTATCACTTGATTATTTTACTGTAAAATCTGCGGTGTAAAGGCTATAGAGCAGTGTGAGACACAAATCACTTGAAATTTAGTCATACTATACAATAGTCGATTGTATAACACAGTATCACATTAAATAGTTTATATATCAAATTACACCATAGACTTCGAGCGCATCTTATTTAAGAGTGTTGGAAATACTCACCATTTTCTAATTCTTTAAATTTTAAAAATATTTTGATGTTGGTACTTAGTAACTACCGAATGTAAGACATTTTGTAATAGGTCTTTATCAACACTTATGAACTATAACTTATGGATGACCTTCAAGCGATTCTATGATGATTCTGCATACCACGACATTTGAGAATAAAGAAAAAAGAATCATAAGTCGAACTCGAATATTAAGAAGGCTAACAGTGAGACAGTGTTAGCTTACTTCATTTTACAAGGCATGCAATGCTGACTAGTGTTGGAAACGGCTGGAAGTTAGGGGCGGCTAAACCAAAACGTGGCATCAGTCCTTGAAGTCATTAAATTCTAGTCTGAACTATGTTGGTAGATGCAAACTACTTGGTTTAGGTCCGCGTGACTATCGTAACCAATGTTTGGAGACTGTGAGTGACATGGCTCAGAATCGTTCACAATGGAGTAGGTGTATACACTCTTTGTATTCCTCTAAATCGTAAAATTAAAGACACCTTATACCTCTCTTTCTAAGAAATAATCCTTTTTCTCTTTATTATATCTTTAAATGAAACCTTTTTTATTACCAATGAATTAACTCCTATGAATTTCGTGTTCATCTTGTTGAGCTCATGAGGTGTGGCAATTTGGACAGATGCATATAGGTGCCTGGTCCTACGTTATAGATAACCGATTGACTACAAAAAAATTTTTCTAATGCAACACATAGGAAGGTAGTTGACAAATGGCATCACAAAAGTGCTATAATTTTTTTGTCTATTGGCAAGAGCCATAAATATTGTTCATTAATGTAACCTATGATAAAATTACACTAATTTTGCTAGTTATTTTAGCTTCCTAATCTCCAGATTTTGAGGAAGTTATGGGGAATTTTCGGGTTTCCTCTCGATTTATAAGAGAATTCGTAATATTTCTCCATGTCTAGGAAAATATTAGGGAAAATCACAGACCAGGAAAAATTTAGGTGTTTTGACGGATTTCCTCAAAAACTTTCTGTTTCAGCTTCTGGCTTCTAAGAGTCGTTCATCGCACACAAACTAGGTTGTATGAAAGTTTCCCGTCAAACTGATTGTACGATTCTTAGAAGAAAACTGTCAACACGGTTTCAATTTATTTACCTTATCGAAGTAGTCCTATATTGCCAACTTCTGTAATAAACCTTCAGCGAACGCAATAGATGTGCATTACCATAGCAAAAAGACTGATGCGTTATAAATGTTGTATGTTAAAATTAACATGTCGTCCACATATATCTTGTAAGTCTTAAACATCATTATAAATAAATTCTTGTTCATGAGACTGCGCAACACTGATCTAAGTTCTTCGCCCTTGTATTACTCTAGACATTGGGGAAAATACTAATTTTTCTATGACTTTGGAGAAAACACCGAAATTTCCCCAAAATCGGGAGATTTACTAATTGTTCATAAAAGTAAAAAGCCTTGAAACAATTGCAAATTAAGTGCAACTGTTGACATAAATACATATGTAGTGTGAGTACATATAGCGTAAAATAGATAAATAATACTGAATCCTACATTTTTAAGCTGACACCAACAGTTACATATGCGACAGTTACGTAAGTCGCGAACTTGGCGCAATATGAGAAAATGTCTTTGCGATAAACTTTGAGACGCTGATAATTTCTTTAAGTCTATTTATCGATGTAATGTATTTTAGCAGTAAGCAAAAGAGTTATTACAGGTATCAGATGACCACTTAGATCCTAAACTCAATATATAAGTTACGCTCGTGTTTTGATATTTTGGGTATGGCAAATCCTGCGATAGTTTCCAACCACTGGGTACTAGTTTTGAATCTCCAGTCAAGTTTGGCATATACTAAGAGTCGTCCCGTATTATAAGCAGTATATTAATATCATAAAATGACAAAGTCTCGTTTGCATAAGTGACAGATTTTCGGAGAGGATTGGCTATCAGAATCTCCTTCAGTGTGAAAAAGCCATTAAAGTGCTTTTCCCAACCAGAAGGTATATTCAGAGAAGTCGATTGATCCACGCGATTTTTAAAAAAGCACAAAGGTACTTTTCATCTCTGAGTTTGTTTTAAAGTTTTGATCTTTTATTACGTGTCAAGACTACTGTTTTCGCTTTGATTGAATCAAGTTCAGTTGTTTTAATCGTCAAGTGTGTCGTTTTTTAAGCCATTTATTATCTGTAATTTTGAGTTCACTTGTGAGCACGGCGCACAAAACAAAAAGGTCAGTGGTGTTTTACCTCGTTGAATAAATCTCTTAGCATTGATTGTATCCCAAGATGAAAGGGAATATTTTATACTTATTTAGTCGTATTTTGTCAGTTATAGAGACATATATGTATATATCCCAGCTTTTTCTGCTCAGTGTAGGCCACATTCATAGCCTTTATGACACATATTCTAGAGATCAGTGTTTTGTTCTTCTCTCTGTGGGATTACTTAAAAATTCTGATTGCGCAAGTAAAAAATCGTTGTGGTAAACGCGCAGTCATCTTTATCGAGGATTAAATGCAACGTGAAGACTGCGGCAAGTAGTATCACAACGCGTGCAACAGACTCATACCAGCTGCATATAAAAGATGCTGAAAGCCACAGTCATTCTGACTGTTCAAAGCATGCCGCTCTACAAATTCCCTGCTGATTCTTGGGAGATTGAGCTGTTGAACATACCTAGAGAATTACCCTCAGACAATCAGCCGGCAGCGGACAAACAGCTTTCAGTTTTTGAGGATGAAACCGTCGAAGTGGGCCGTAATAACGTAGAGGATAATAAACACACGGATGTAGGATCCATTTTGAAGGTTTTTTGTGTGAAGATCTCTGCACGTACATACTTGTGATTTATACCTTCAGTTGTACACGTCGTAAGTCTTTTTGATTCGATTTGAGATGGTAGTATTTGTTTTTTATTATAGTCTTACTTTTCTTACGCTTTCACTGTTTCCTTGTTTCTTCCTGAACCGCATTTATATTGCATCAGTAGGCCTCAACATACACAAAGGAAAAACCAAGGTCCTCAAACACAACATGGAGAACAGCAATCCAATCACTCTTGATGGCGAAACTCTGGAAGATGTAGAATCCTTCACTTACCTGGGAAGCATCGTTGATAAACAAGGAGGTTCAGATGCAGACGTCAAGGCGAGGATTGGCAAAGCTAGAGCGGCATTCCTTCAACTGAAGAACATATGGAACTCAAAACAACTTTCAACCAATATCAAAGTCAGAATCTTCAATACCAACGTCAAGGCAGTTCTATTGTACGGAGATGAAACTTGGAGAACTACAACAACCACCATCAAGAAGGTACAAATATTTATCAATAGCTGTCTACGCAAGGTACTCAACATCCATTGGCCGGATACCATCAGCAACAGCCTTTTATGGGAGAGAACTAACCAGCTTCCAGCTGAAGAGGAAATTAGGAAAAGACGATGGAAATGGATAGGAAATACATTGAGGAAATCATCAAACTGCATTACGAGACAAGCGCTAACTTGGAATCCTGAAGGGAAGCGGAAAAGAGGAAGGCCAAAGAACACATTACGTCGGGAAATAGAAGCAGATATGAAAGGGATGAATAAGAACTGGAAAGAGCTTGAAAGGATTGCCCAGGACAGGGTTGGATGGAGAATGCTGGTGAGCGGCATATGCTCCTGCACGAGGAGTAACAGGCGTAAGTAAGTAAGTAAGTAAGTAAGTAAGTAAGTAAGTTGATACTTAGTCTTGACGGTAGCCATATTAGGTTGTTCCCCCTTTCGATTGCATCCACTGAAATTGTACATTTTTGGTCGTGAATTGGAGCACTTTTACAGAATTGGAAACACTCTGTTTTATAAAGCAACCAAATATTATCTTTCGAACGAATCTGTACGTGATATATCCAAGAAGGATGAATTAATATTTATTCGTTGAGCTTGGTAATTTCGATACATCCCTTATCAACTTATTTATTGTAACTGAGATTGAATTACCGACTGAGCAATTATTGGTTGGATAACTGGGTGATAATGTTTGTTTAGGTAATAATGTACATCTAGAACCTTCACTTACCCAATCACCTTTTTTAGGTTTCAACTGGACAGTAGCGAGTATCTTAACTACCTAGGCAATTATTTTTCAGTCCAAACCTCGGTCCGGATTCTACAACTGGTGAAGGAACGCTTGTAGCTTTCATTTAGAAGCCTCTTCTGGACGAGGAACCAGACCCAAATACAAAATCAAAAGGTCGTCTGCTCACAGTTGACTTCGGCCGAGATGGTGTGCTTAAGGCTCTTAGCACCTTGTACATGGAAAAGTCAACAGGACCGAATAAACTACATCCTGAAATCTTGAGAAAAATTGCACAATATATTGCTGCCCCACGGACTACGATATTCAATATGTCACTTGACTGAGGTGAGTTACCAACGGACTGGAAGGATGCAGTCGTCACTCCAATACATAAAACAGGATCAAGACAACTCCCACCAAAATACAGACCTGTCAGCCTCAACAGAGTCAGATTTAAAATACTGCAAAGAATATTCGAAATGACCATAATGACACTCATGGAAATCAACATGCTAATCAGTGAACAACGTGATTTCAGAAGAAGTTTATCTTGCACAACAAATCTCCTAATAGCAAGAGTTAAACTGATAGAAGCTTTAAATAGTGGAAAATCAGCGTATGTCATCTACGTAGACTTCAGAAAAGCATTTGACAAAGTGCCAACAAATAGAATACTATTGAAAATGGAAAATCTAGGCATTGCTGGACCTCTCCCAAAATGGCTTAAGGACTTCCTAGTAGGTCCTAGGCGGAAAGTAAGAATAAATTCGAAGTGCTGCACTTGAAGACCCAGTACTGAGTGGAGTTTCGCAAGGTTCTGTCCTAGGCCCGTTGATTTTTATACTGTGCGTAAACTGACTCCCAAGCATAATTGAGTCTCCAATGCTGCTATACGCTGATGATGCATAACTCTGGCGAGAAATCACAGGAGACACAGATGCATGCGTATTTCGAACAGACATAGATATTCTGATTAGCTGGTCTGAAAAATGGCTGGTGCCTATCATCGCGGCCAAGTGTATCTACAGTAGAGGTGCCGGTATTCATAGTCCGGTCTTACAAGGATCTTGGGATGACAGTTAGTCATGGTCTCAAGACTACCGCTACGAGGTTGCAGCTAAGGGTTTTGGAACCTCACGTGCTTTAAGAAGGACATTACTATATTCTCCACAGCGTACACAACTTTAGTGACTACAAGCCCCTGTTTAAAATGTGACTCGGATATCCTGGAAAAAGTACAGAGGGCAACAATCCGTGCAATTTCAAAACTCCGAATTTACCTTACAAAGAGCGGCTTGAAAAACTAGACCACTTTATTCTTTCCCACCGCAGACGAAGAGGTGATCTTTTTTTGATGTATAGGATACTAAGAAATGATTTAAGATCTGATGTATAGTCTTTCTTTCTTTCCAGCAGTTCGACACATCTCAGAGAACATAGCAAGAAAGTAAAAAAACCAAGGACGGACAAAATGTCCGTGGCATGAAGGTTTTTGCAACGGTTCATAAGTTCTTGGAGCCCGTTACCCGAAGCAGTGGTGCCAGTATTTTCAACTTATTCATTCAAGTAAAGACTAGATACTCACAGAAAATTGTCTAACCTTTGACTAACCTGGGCAACGCAAAAAGTAACTGCCAACGCCCAGGCTGTCGATACCCCGTGGAAAGTGACATGCAATGCGGTGGGTCTAAAGGATGGTATTACGAAGTTCGCACGTTTATGTCAGCGGCTCTCAAACGTTTAGTAAAAATGTTTGCTTAAGTTTGTGCCATTAATGCTGCTCGGATATAGCGACCTGTTCTTCGAGACCATTGCAGTGGTGAATGCAGCTAAACAGAGTATTAGCAATCGTGACACATAAAATGGTACTTACTCGTTCGATACACAAATTGATGTGAAGGTACTTCTGATAAGCTTGGAATCGGACGACTTTTATGGGTCGACGGAGAAAGGACAGCCAATGTAGAGATGTATGCAGTGGTGATGCCCTTCCCATCATTTCACACAATATCCCTTATACATACACTTTAAACAGCAACCATTAAACAACTCGATATCCTTGGGCTGTCATAGGAGCTTGATATAAATAAACCCACGCGACCACATGAAATACAACCTAGGTTACTGAAGGAACTAGCAAATTTTGTCGCGAATCCCGTAAGAATATGTCCTAAGCTATCTGTAACCCACGATGGTCTACCAAAAGACAAGAAGAATGCTATCATAAGTCGTCCTAAAAACACTTAGGAGTTATAATCTAGAGAACTATCTACCCGTAAGCCTAGCCAGTGTGGTTGTTGAAATTTCAGAAAAGACTATTAAGAAGTTTTTTAATACGTCAACGGAAACCGGATTTTTTTGAAAAGTAGAACGGATTAAAAACGGGTTATTCATGTTTCCCTAACTTCTTAGTGGCCTGTGAAAGTTGGTTTGCTCTAAAGTGTCAAAAGTCACCTACTGATGTAGCCTACACTGCCAAGGGTAAGTCTTTTGACATAGCTCATCACGGTCGGTTATTATATAGGTTGAGCGTATCGAGGTTGATGGCCATTTATTAGTCTGGATGAAGGACTTCCTATTTGGGCGTCAACAGAGTGTGTAGGTGAACTCAAAATAGTCTAACTGGGAATTTTTGTTTACCGGAGTGCCACAGTATACGCTTATTGGACCAGTATTGTTCCTCTTGTATGTTAAGGACCATGCTAGTCTCCTATCATCATAATCATCATCATCCGTTTTATTATATGCTTATGATGTCAAGATATTGATAGCAAAGCTCACATGTTCAA